AGTATTTCATTGTCATGCAGCCTCAGGCCAGCTGGTAAATCCCAGTTCATGTGCATCCTGCTGCTCTGTGGGACTGGCTGCACTGGAAACACCAGGCAGGAATCCTGGGGGGTGCAATTTCTGCTAAAGGTACCCAAAAACTCCCTGAGCCTGCACTCCTGAAGGTGCAGCTCCAGCCAAGGTGATGCAGGTCCCCAAGGAGCTCAGGGAATTGCACAGATACTCAAAACAAGGGGGCTGGCTGGGAGGAATGGCCAAATAAACCGAAGGGTTTGGTCTCATCAGCCACTCTTTGGTGTCTGAGGCTGATTTCCAGCTGGGTGAAAGAATCGGTTCTGTAATTTGCATGGCTCTGTGTGGTGTGTGTGTCCTCACCCCTGTGAGATAAAACCCCTGCAATGAGTGCCTTTCATCCTCTACAGAGACAGACCAGGAGAAAAGGATGGGTGACTAAGGGCGATAAAAGCCTGCAGAAGCCAAGCAGAGGAGGATTTGCACTTCATTCATTCAGAAGATGATGGAGCTGTGTATATGAATACAGCATTTCAAAGGGCAGAGGCCAGTCTCCACAACTGAGTCATCTGAAAGGAGCTGGAAATAGCTGATGGTTTCTAACACTCAAAGTGCCCAACCTGAACAACTTCATGAATACAATTACAATTTTTTTGTTCTCCACAGCTTGTTCTGGAACTTGGCTGATAACAAAGGCAGCACCCACACAGGGTGAGGAGCACATCACATGTGACAAAGTCACACACACTTTGCTGAGCAGCTGCAGAACAGAAATATTTCACTGCTGGGAGTCACCATGAGGGAGACTGTGACAGTGTTCACAGGGTTCTTGGATGAGGGAAGAGACGAGGATCTGACTCCATGTTTCAGAAGGCTGATTTATTATTTTATTATATATATTACATTAAAACTACACTAAAAGAATAGAAGAAAAGGTTTCATCAGAAGGCTAGCTAGGAATAGAATAGCAAAGAATGATAACAAAGGTTTGTGGCACGGCTCTCTGTCCGATTCAGCTGACTGTGATTGGCCATTAATTACAAACATCTAACATGGACCAATCTGTTGCATTCCACAGCAGCAGATAATCAATGTTTACATTTTGTTCTTGAGGCCTCTTAGCTTCTCAGGAGGAAAAATCCTAAAGAAAAGATTTTTCATGAAAGGTGTCTGTGACAGGAGACATTTACAGTTTTCCTCATAGCAAGGCTTAGAAGGAGCACTCAGTACAAATCCTTGGCAGGAGAAGTTTTGGACACCGATTTCATCCCTGTTTATTTGTGAGCAATTTCCTTATAACTTCATGGTTCTGCTGCCACCTGTGTTGCTACAGAAAAAGCACACCAGGCAGAGGGAAAATTTCTGCTAGATTAGGTCTAAGTGACATCACTTTCTGAGATTCCAGGAGTCCTCCAAGGGCTGGGACACTGCTGCTCGGGAGGACAAAGGGTTGAGGGTGGAGGAGAGCACAGAAGGAAAACCCCACTGTAACAATGTGGGACTTGCCAATTAAACCCAATTCTGACCATCACCCTAAAGAGCATCTCTGTCCCTGTGCTGCTCCCAGATCCTGCTCACACACGGCACAAACATGGCAAAGAGAGGCTGCCAGCAGGGATTCCTGTACAGCAGGGATATCTCTTCACTGCTGATGGGCTTCAAAACACCCATCCATCCATTTGTGGCAGCCCTTTGGGGGTTAACAGCTCCACACCCCACCCACAGAGAGGACAAATTTATGTCTCTCCAGTAAACATAAACACTCAGGTACTCTCCTCAAGAAGGAAAGCTCAAAATATTAAAATTATTACTAGACTGGCACAAGAGCAGCTTGCTTTCAGAAACACAGTAGTCAAAGATCAGGTATGATTTAATGTGCACAAGTAAGAATTTATGCATCAAATCTATGGGGCTATGTCAGGTAATGCTGAGTGTGGGAACCTGGTTTTATTACTTAAAGAAAAAACAAACCAAAACCTCCCAAATAAGTAGTTTTTTGTATATATTATATGTATATATTATTATTTATATAATTTCATATTTTATATATTTTATATGATTATATTATATTATATTATATTATATTATATTATATTATATATATTATATATATTATATATATAATCTATTATATCTATCATATCTATATCTATTATATCTATTATATCTATCATATCTATCATATCTATCATATCTATCATATATATCATATATTATATATTAGGTGATTTTCAATATTTAACAAATAGCTCTCTTTAAAAAGAAATTACAACACATCACTACTTTTGTTGTCGGAAAGAACTCAGCCCATTCCAGCTGAGTCAGCTGTAAAATCATCAGGCCATAAAATTATATCAAGGACTACAGATGCTTAAACATTCTCTTAACCAAAATCTGACCAGGGAAAGGCTGTACCACAAAGGGAACATTCTCACATCAAACACCATGCCTGCACTGTAAATACAAAATGCTGAAATTTGCTGGAAAATTTCTCTTGGAACAATGTGCCCACCAGCCATAACTCAAGTCAACTTGGTTTTCATGAGCAATTTTGGTGATTGTTCTACATCCCCAGTGGGAATGAATGCTTGCTACTGCAGAGAATTCAGTAAATTCACTGTGTCCTCACAGAGTTTCTGAGCTTTCTTGGAGCCCCTGCCCTCAGCTCCTTCTCCAGTGCTGCAGGAGAGTGGGGAACAGATTTTAGGATCTCCCTTTTTTTCTGTTTCATCTGAGATCACTGTAGACGACTATTTAGAAGGTCAGAACTGAATTAATTTTCTCTTAAAGTCTCCAGCAGTTGCTTTGAACCATAACCCAGCCCTACCCCCAGATCCAAAGTGGAAATTGCCAACAGCCTCCCCTGTACCCAGGGCCCTGCAGCTCGCTTGGGTGGAGGTGAAATTTCACTTCCCCTGTGGGACAGAGAGAACAGGAAATGTGACCAAGGCCAGTTTTGGGGGTTTCTCCCAGGTTTTAGAGCTGTTTCTAGGCATTGCTAGAGTAGTAATAGATCAGAGACTGCTACAGAATGTTTGTAGAACTCTCTACTCTTCTCTGATGAACCACTCTCAAATACAGCCAGATATAAAATGGAATTGACTCAAACTCATTTTGTTTTTCCTGTTTTACCTTTGTATGAAATAGGTGTTAACCCCAATGGAGCCTGGGGATTAATCAAAGAAAACCAAATCTTTTAACACTCAAAGCACTCCTTAGAGCTTTCACAATGTGAGAGAGCTCATCTCAGATCCCTCACATAAGCCCAACAATATAATGTGACAATATGTGGGTTTTGTTTGAAGAGTTCTTGATTTTAAAAGCAGTTAAAGGCTCGTGATGACAAGCAGCAACAATAACAGCTAATAGAAGGATGTTTGCAATGATCTCTAGAAAGCATAATGAAATAGCTGTTTTAAAATTATCTTCACAGAAATAACACCTATTTTATCCCATTAAAATGATGGGACAATAAACAATGAATGATGAATATTAAAGACTGACATCTCTAGCAATGCTTCCTCCTAACTACCCTAAGTGTTTTTCTTAGCTCTGAAAATATAATTAGCATGAAAGCATACACACAGTGATGTCTTATTATCTCTTTAACACCTTTTCTGTCCTGGCTGGTCAATATCCAAGGATGCAGTGCCCTGCTGAATTCTGGGCTGCAGGGACAGAAAGCCTTTGGTCCAGCCTGACTGAGGACTCAAACCTCTGCTGGTAGCTGGAATGCAACCATGGATCGCCAAAAAATATATCCAGACCTGAAAAGGAATAATCGTGGAGCCACCCAAAAATAGACTGATTTCAGAGGCAATTCAAGCCAAGCTGGCCTGGTTGCCTGTGCTGGCTCAGAGATAACCAGGTTGCTCTCCTCCTGCCCAACTACCTGTGGGACAATTTAACTCACTCTTTAATGTCACAGTTTTATAACCTGAAACGGTGAAGATGTAATTTTGCTTGTCTTTGGTACAAAGAACAGGACAACAAAATGTGCTCTGACAGTGTATTTAATTTGTATATCTTATTTTTATAAGCTTCTTGATTTTATAAGCATCTTGATACAAGGAGAGTACCTGTTAAAGAGTGCTTTTCTTTGCAGATAACCCAGATAGCAGTTCAAACAAGTAATTCCAGACTCTTGAGATATATTTATCTTAGAACACAGAAGCAGTGTGTGGTGTAATGGTCACACACATCCATGTGCACATGTCAGACACGGAGCTGGATGCTAACAGCTCCAAAGCCGTCTCTGAGCCCATAGAACCTCGCAAGGCTGAAAAGCCATAGCCCTGAGCCTTGTTCTGTGCTGTGCAAACAAACCACACCCAGCGCAGAGCTCAGAGCAGCAGCCAGCCAGGCCACCTGCGCTTCCTGGAGCTGAGGGCAGCGGCACCTGTTTGTTTCTGTAACAGGAATACACGAAACCAGCAGAACTCAATACAAAATGTGTCACAAAATGTGTGTCTGCGGCGAGGATGCGGCCGAACACCGGCCTGTGCGACCCTGCGCCCGGGCAGCGACCGAGGGCCCCGCAGCACCGCGGGACCGGGACCGCGTGTGGGCCGGCACGGCACGGCACGGCCCGGGGTGGTGGCACCGCCACACACTGGGGATCTGCGGCCCGAACGGGTGTTCCGGGGCAGCGACCGGGCCCGAGGCAGCGACTGATCCCCGCTCGGTGCTGCCGGCCCGGGTGTGCAGCGGCAGCGATCCCTGCACGGAGCCGTCACAGCCCGGCCGCGGGCAGGGCCGGGCCCGCCAGGCAGGGGCGGTCCCGGCGCGGATCCGGCGCGGTCCCGGGGCCAGGCGGGGCGGGCCGGGCCGGGCAGGGGCGGTCCCGGCCCGCTAACGGGGCCGGGCAGGGGCGGTCCCGGTGTGGATCCGGGCGGAGCGGGGCGGTCCCGGCGCGGTAACGGGGCCGGGCAGGGGCGGTCCCGGTGCGGGGCCGCGGCGGGCGCTGGGCTGCGCAGAGCCGGCTGCCCTCGGCCGCAGCGCGCCCCGCCATGCCCGGAGTGGCCGCGCTGGGCGCCGGCCCCGACCCCGAGGAGAGCTACGATTTCCTCTTCAAGCTGGTGCTGATCGGCGACGCCAGCGTGGGCAAGACCTGCCTGGTGCAGCGCTTCAAGACCGGGGCCTTCTCCGAGCGCCAGGGCAGCACCATCGGCGTGGACTTCACCATGAAGAGCCTGGAGATCCAGGGCAAGCGGGTGAAGGTGAGGGCTCTGGGCCCGCGGGGTTGCTCCGGACCGGGCCCGGGCCGCCATCCCCGGCTGCCCGCGGGGACCCGGGCGGCACCGAGCGCGCCCAGGGCCGGGCCGGGCCGGTTCCGCCCAGAGCCGGGCGAGCCCTGGCTGAACCCGGCCGCGGCAGCCGCAGCTGCAGCGCTCTCTGCTCAGGCTCCTTTCTGGGGTGTTTACAAGGCAGAAGAAAGCTCAGCTGGGCTGCCGTGTTTCCAGAAAGGGATGTGGAACTGGTAGATTGAGAGAAGGTTCTTAAATTAGGCGTGCTATTATCTTAAGACACTGTTTACAGGGTGTCACAGGAAGTGCCGGTTTCACGGTTCTTCAATAAACTCTAAATTTGACATCTGCTTTTTTTTTTTTTTTTTTTTTTTTGGTTATGCTGGAGGAAATCAGCTGGTTGTTAGGGCCAGAAGAGCCCAGGACAGGTATCCCATGGATCTATCCTCAGATTCTCAGTAGCACAGATTTCTGCAACTGTTTTCACCCTCTGAGCGCTGGAGTGCAAGTGAACATTGGGGAGAAAATGTTTAAAGCATTTAGGGTTTATAGTAGATAAACCATATAAATAGTTTATATAGTTTTTAGTGAAAGTTATTAATATAGTAGATAAGTCCCTTCACCATCCCCTCCAGAATGGGGTTCTGCAGCTATCCTTATCCCCAGTAGGACTAAAAAGCATTTAATTCAGTCACTGCCTGGAGGAAGATGATGGAATTGTAAAGCTTTTGGTGACACACAAATGCAGTGATGCAGTGAAGTTTTGGCCTGTGTTTACCAAAGTAGGTGTCAAAGTCCTCTGTTGGTTTTTTTCATGTAAATTATCTTTGAGTATTAAGGTGAGAAAATTGCAGAAAACATAAATGAAGGCATTTTTAAGGAAAAGAGAGGGATTAGCAGTGGCCATGCCCTGCAGCAGTGTTTATTTCCTTGTTAGTGTCACACATTTCCCTGCCATGCCTGCCTGGGGAGCTGAAGAACAAACTCAGGTTTTCTGTTTGAGTTGTTTGTGCCTCTCGCACACTTCCTGGCAATGAGGAGTGGGGCTTCTCCTTTAAGGTGGAAATCTGCCTCTGTTTAAATGCCGGGCGCACAGAGAGCGACAAATGTGTCTGTTCCTGGTGCCAGGCACTGCAGGAGTGCCCCAGGAACCCAGCCAGACTTCCCAGGTGTGCATTTTCATATTGTCACTGCTTACACATGGTATTTCAGTATTAGCAGCCTGGCTGTAACAAATCCTGAGTTATTTCTAAGTGCTTTATCAAAAACAAGGCAGGAAGTTCAAGGTCTTGAAGCTTTCTTTTTGTTTGGGCTGTTCTGTACTTCCACTTAGAAAAAAATGAGGAAAGCAGTTATTGAAGAAGAGTATTTTAAGTGTTACTTTAGGGAAATTATTCCAACATTTGCTGATTGACCTTACAGATACTTTTGTCAGCTGCTGGGTCAGGGACACAGCCTGAAAATGAAAGCATTTGCTTGGGGGAGGGGGGGGGGTTTGTTTGGTCATTTAAGATGTGGGGTGTGTGAAGTTTAAATCAGAGTTTTCCAGTTGGATTGAGATTTCAGAGCAGCCCATCTAACCTGGGTTAGCTTTGCTCAGCATGCTCTTGGAATCAGGAAATAAGGAAGCATTTCCTTGCGCTTTTTTGAGTTCCCTTGCACACTCTGCTTGCACTTCTTGCCTCACAAAAGCAGGCCAGGTAATTGTCTGCTGCTTTGAGTTCCTTAGGGATTTATGCTACTCAGGACAGTAATTGTTTATTATTTAGCAAATGGTGCAGGAATGAGATAATTCCTGGTTTTGTAATGTTTTACAGGCTCATCTTTAGAAATTCCTTCAAAACAAAGTGTCTACAAAAACTTGTCCCCCCTCCCCAGTGGCCTGAACTTCATTTTTAGTCTGGCTAAGGGCAGCACTGCAACCCAACACTTACTTTGAGATTGAAGCAAACAATTTAGGTTAAATGTGCCTCTCTTCAAACTTCAGATGTTCCTTTCACAGTTACATAACATTTCTGAAACATTTGGAACCCAAGGATTTTAGGTCTCACTTTCTTTTGATGTGGAGCATTGTTTTGTTTTTGTTTGTTTTGGGTTTTTTTTTTTTTGATAAGGGAAAAGATGCCTGTTGGAATACTGAAGATTAAGGTGCTGCAAATAACTACTTTTTTTTAATTATTTATGAAACTTGAGGCTTTCCTTGCACCTTGCAGCTGTTTTCTTTCAAGTGTCTCACATGGTGTTCCACACACTGCTGGAGCTGACTAAACTTCATATAGAAAGAGATCAGCTTTGTGAAATGTCTGCAGGCTGTCTTCATTTACATTTACAGAAGTGTTCCAGTACATGCTGTTTGAAATTGTGGCATACTGCTTTCTCTAAAAGTAGATTTCTCTGAATCCTAGAGTGCAGACTGTAGTGCCTAAAAGTTGGTCTTGTTAATCACTCAAAGGTTTTGTTAATCACTTAATGCATAGTGATTGAAGTCCTATTGATAAAATAATTATTTGTTCTTTGAGTGATAGAAAAAATCTGGCAAACAGAACAAAAACATTTTATAACTGTTATGTCACTGTAAGAAAAGATATTTGTAAAATGCTGGAACCAACATTTTACATAATGATAGGCAAGGACATTCCTAAGTCCAAGTCCATAAATCATGGTTAGTAATAACAAAAGTATTTTTCTTTTGATGAATTACCTCCTGTGAGCTAATTAATTGCCTTTAATGCCTACTTTATGCTGTCAGTTCCTAGTGTTTTACATAAAGTGTTTTTTCCTCTATCCCACAGTTTTTCTCCCTCAGTATAACTTTCAGAAAGTAGCAGGAGAGAAGAACAGTTGCAAACACATTCCTTTTACAGCAAATACTTCTTTATTTTAAGAGGTATTTAAATGAAGAAGTACCATTGTACTTTTTCATTTACAGGCTTTTTCAGCCCATATGTTACCAAGATTATTGGTTTTGATTCAGGCCTCATGGCTGTGAACTGCATCCCTTTCAGAATGGCCCAAAATATATTTTGTGTCATGATCTGGTCAAATTGCCACTAATACAGAATTGTGTCTTGTTAAGTGTCCTGTCTCCTGAATGGGAATTTAATGACTTTGCTGCACAGATAAAAGCAGAGCTATTGGAAGCAATATTCTTTGATATCCAGAGGAAAACGTAGCTCTCTGTCAACTCCTTTGGCACTCCTAACCTGCAGCAAATGGAAATACTACATTCCCAAAAAAGAGGCATTCCTCATTCTCTGAAAATTGTGTAGGAAAACATTTGAATGGTGCAGTTTATCCTCCCTGCTCTATGAATATCACTTTAAATTGAAATACAGTGCCACAGAGATGTTGCTTTTGGCAGAAACTGCCTGGATTAAGTTGCAAGGCTGTTTCAGTAAATGTTTTTAGGAGCAAGTGTTGTGATTTGCCAGCCTACAGGAATGTATGTTTTTGTTTGCCATTTGAGATGACAGGACTCAGACACAGCTGGTTAAGAGTCATTTAGCACAGTCTTTAGGTCCAGTTTCACTGCTGGGACATTTTATGGAATTTTGCTGCAAAAGTGACATTTCTGTTTTTGCAAAGGAAGGTGTCAGCTGGAGGATGCACTTAGTCATTATTTATGCTGCTCCACAGGCAAAAGCACACCTGAACTGTGGTACTTTAGAAGAATCAGGAAAGTACTTAATAAATTATGTAGGAAGTAAGGGAGGGAGAAATTATTTACTGTGTCTTGGGGCCATCTGTTAAGCATTAACCTTTGATAAAGAATATGTTGATCAATGCAGGAGCAGCCACATTGGCCCATTTGATAATGGTCATTTACTGTGCTCTTTGGCCAGCCTGCCACTCACATCCTCAGCATTTTCTCTGTCCCTGTAGTTCAAAATCTGCTTTCTGTAAGCCTGAGCAGAATGATCTTCCAGGGAACCTCCATTAATTTTACCACCTTCTCTTTTCCTCTTACATCCAGCTGAAACACTTCTTGTCCCAGAATTTTTCTGGGGTCTCTCACTGTCCTTTGTGTGCCACCATGAGGAGTGTGGCTGTCCAAAAAGTTCCAAGCTGAGAGGAGATCAAAACAACCAGCTTTGTGAGTAAATGAGTATTCAGTGGTGAAACAATTAACATTTGTGAGTAATTGAGTATTCAGTGGTGAAACAATGAGAAAGGTGGCTCCTTTATTCTGCCATATTCCTTCTGCACAAGGAGTATTTATTCCCTGTTCTCTTCTGTTCCTAGCAGTGGTCTCCCTGCCACCAATCTCTGATTTCATAGGTGTTTCTAATTAGTAGTTTCAAATGAATTCAGCACAATTCTCCAGCAATCCCAGCTTCTCTCACACCAAAGGAGTTGCCAAAGTAATTACAAAATCAGGAACAGCTTTAAAAGGTTACTGAGTGACAGACGTGGCTGCCATCATGTTATTTACAAAGCTGAAGCATTTAAATTAGCCATAAGTAATTAAATTAACCATAAGAAATTAAATATTAAGTATTATTATCAAGTAATAATTAAACATTATTAATTAGTAGTATTAATTATTACTAAAATATTAAATTTTATTAATTACAAGTTATTTATTTTAATGAATAATATTCAAAATTAATAATAATTATGTCATTTACAACATACATCATACACTTGTACAATACAAAAGAATACATGAACATATCTTTTTTTATTAACCCGTGGCTAGTACAGTTCTTTTGGTATTTAACTTTTAACTTAAACTGAGGGACTTAGGAATGACAAATACTATGACTATTTTTTTTTTTCAAAGAGTTTTCAGTTGTTATTTTTTATCAAGAGCTATGTGCTTGTAAATACAGTTTAACAGAAATACTCTATAAAACTTTTTCTGTGCACAAGCTGGTTAAGGTTATAGTTGTGATTGGTATTTTTTTATAGTTGTCATGGTTCTTTTTCAGTAGAAATCTGTGAAATTTATCTCTGTAGATATACTGGAGAAAATAGTGTTTACTTAGGATCAGAACTGGTATTTTTGTAATTACTTAAATTATATTTTTAACCGTGTATCAGACTGATTAATGTTACATGAAAATATTTTTCTTAGAATTTTCTAAAGATGCAGTCGAGCAAACTAGCTGTATTTTTCCTTTAGAAATACAACTTGCTTTACATTAAGTGATCTGGTTCATAATACCTCCTTGCTGTGTCAATAAATTGTGTTCTTAATGCTAGAAGACATTTTTCAAATTACAATGTGCCCAGACAAGGTTTTCAAGCTTCCAAACTGAAGGGGGGTTGTTCTTAGCTCATTCACTCTGCACTTTTATTTACACCACAGAAAAAATGTAAGCCAAAACAATTTTATTTCTTAATTCAAGTGTTTCCAATTTGTCTGTGTGCACAGAATCCCTCGGGCCCTTCCCAAGAGTTGGGTAATCATCATTAGCCTTTTCTAGCACTTGACCTAATCAGGTGCTGAGACTTAACCAGCACAAAGGGCTGGTGGGAGACCTGAGTGCAGAGATCACCATAAACCTGCCCCCAGTTTCCTGCTCCCTGCTAATTGCTGCTGCCTGCTCTGAGCCATTATCTCTTGCATTAATAATCATTTGCTTTGGGCTTTTCTGAGTCCATTACAGTCCTTCCCCTGCTCTGAGAGTTCCTTTTTGCTGGGGTTGATTCCCTCTCAGCTGCACATGTATCAGCTGGATCTGAGTGCTTGCTTAGCACAGGAAATGAGATCTTATCAGCACAGCCTTTTCCAAAGGGAAATTTCCTGCTCAAAAATGCAGCACGGTCAGAAGATACACAGAAAACACTACTGTGCAAAAGAAATAAAAGGAAAAATGGTTCCATATTATTTGGTATAAAATAGCTCTGGCACATTGTGTTAAGTTGTTGACAACCCTTCAGAATAAGGAGGTTCAGAGGAAAGGGAAACCATAAATAAAAGGTCCATGCCATGGGAGGATTCAAAACCCCAGCAATATTTGCTTATGTCCTGTTTCAGTGGAGATGCAGAATACAAGGAATGGCAGGAAAACACAGGCAGTGGTCTCCCATTTATCAGCTGGGGATAGAGAAGTGAAAGTGCAGCAGAACATGAATTTATAGCAGGAAGTTCTTTCATTTCAGTGTGACTGCATATTGAAGCCAAGAGCTTTGGAAGATTCAGAAAGGATTAGAGATTTATACTGAGGATGAGGACATCCACAGTTACTTTAGATTAGAAGATCCTGGAATATAAGCCATCATGTTCCAGGACATCAGACAACCTATAAAACAATGGGATTTATGAAGAACTTCCCTATGAGCAGCATGCTGTTTTTGTCCACTCTGAATTATTTTGTTTCTTCCTCTGGGACATCTTGTACTGGGAACTCCAACTCTGATACCAAACTCATAATTCTTATGCTGCTGGATTTAGGCAAAAGTATTTAACCAATAATTTCTTCCTGCCCAGTTGTAATGTGTGTTTTACCACCCAGAAAAGGGCAGGTGATGAGACTGACAGATACTTCACTGACTTTGTTGGGACCTAGGATTGCTGGCATTTTGTTGACACACTCTTTTATCTATATTCCTATGTCTGATGTTTCCTTCTAAAGCAGCCTCAGTGCTCTCAGATTATGTGACCACATCCTGCTCCCTTTGTTCCTGCCCTGCACAACTGGCAGAGCCACAGAAGGTGTGGTGGCCAAAAGCCACGTGCAGTGTCAGTGACCCAGCAGGTGACCTTGGCTGCAGGCTGGCACCCCATTCTGCTGCCAAGGGTGACAAAGGGCTGGGCTGGGCACACCAGAGAGCTCCAAAATCTGCCTGGAAGGGGCTTGCTGGCAGGAAACCAGGGTCCCAGCTGATACAGGTACAAACTCTGAGCAGACAAGTTCTCAGCATAGATTATATATATATATATACACACATATATATACACACACACACATATATATATATATGTATTTAGTTGTTATATATATGTCTGTATCAAGGTTCTCAAGCATATGTTGTCACCCTTGGATCATGTACAAGAGGCTAGATGAACACAGGGCTAGAATGCATTGCACAGAGAGGAGATTTGGATCAAGGCTCTTGGATCAAGTCCTGTCTCTTGGCTGAGGAGAGCAGCTGCCTTGTGTCACTGTGTGTCACTGTAGCAGTGTATCTGAACCACTCAGACTGCAGTGTGCACCAGCCATCCCCCTTGTAACTGTTATCAGAATTTTCTTGGGGCCCTCTAGAATTCATCAAGGTTACTGGGTCATAAACCGTGCTAAAATAGTAGAGAAGAAGCTGAGAAACTGAATTCCAAGACCACAAGAAAGAGCAGAGAGCTGTGAGCCACTGGGCTGTGACCAGTCCCATCTTCTGTGAGGTGCATGCAGAACATGTGGACAGGCAGAGGCACTGATAGGAAATGTGTGATCAGTGTGTGCAGCAGGGTTAGTGCATAATGCAAACAATACATGGCTTCTGCTTAATCATAGTGGTCACTTGTCCAGGAGTGCTGAGTTCCCCATGTGTCCCTGTGTGTCCTTGTGTGTGTGGTTATTAATTATTGTGGGGTTGTGAGGGTCCCCAGGATGAGGTGAGAGATGAATCTGACTCCATATTTCTTAGAAGGCTGATATTCTATTCTATTCTATTCTATTCTATTCTATTATATTATATTCTATTCTATTATATTATATTATATTCCTGCACTAAAGAAAGAGAAAGGAGACAGCAGAAGGCTGGCAAAGAATGATAATAAAATCCCTTGACAGACCAGAGTCTGACACAGCTGGACTGGGATTGGTCGTTAATTAAAAACAATTCACATGGGACCAATCAAAGATGCACCTGTTGGTAAAGCAACCTCCAAACCACATTCCAAGCAATCAGATCATTTTTGTTCACATTTCTTTTCTGAGGCTTCTCAGCTTCTCGGGAGAAAAATCCTGGCAGAGGGATTTTTCATAAAATATGACAGTGACCCTGCTGTGTCCCGCAGCTGCAGATCTGGGACATGGTGGGCTAGGAGAGGTTCAGGGTGTCACTGTGTGTGACTGTGTGTCCCTGTGTGTGTGTCACTGTGTCCCTGTGTGTGACCCTGCTGTGTCCCCCAGCTGCAGATCTGGGACATGGCGGGCCAGGAGCAGTTCAGGGTGTCACTCTGTGTACCTGTGTGTCCCTGTCTGTCCCTATGTGTCACTGTATGTCCTGTCTGACCCTGCTGTGTCCCCCAGCTGCAGATCTGGGACACGGCGGGCCAGGAGCGGTTCAGGACCATCACGCAGAGTTATTACCGCAGCGCCAACGGGGCCATCCTGGCCTACGACATCAGCAAGAGGGGCTCCTTCCTGTCCATCCCTCGCTGGATCGAGGATGTCAGGAAGTATGCTGGCTCCAACATCGTGCAGCTGCTCATCGGTGAGTTGGGAATGCCCCTGCGTGTGCAGTGTGGCCTCAGGTTTTGGTTCTGCTTGGATTGAGGTGTGTGCAATAACCCGACTGGAAATTTTACCAAAGGAGCTGATTCACTGGAAGAGGTGTTTGCTTTGATTGACTTCTGTTAAGGAGTAGACAGCTTTGAGTCCTTTGCATCTCATTTAGTGGAGAACTGGGATGCCCAGGATTTCCCAGTTCTGAAGCACAGCTGGTGTGAACTTGCCTTGCCTTGCCTTGCCTTGCCTTGCCGAACCTTCCCTTGCCGAACCTTCCCTTGCCGAACCTTCCCTTGCCGAACCTTCCCTTCCCTTCCCGGAACCTTCCCGAACCTTCCCGAACCTTCCCTTCCCGAACCTTCCCTTCCCGAACCTTCCCTTCCCGAACCTTCCCTTGCCTTGCCGAACCTTCCCTTCCCTTCCCTTCCCGAACCTTCCCTTCCCTTCCCGAACCTTCCCTTCCCGAACCTTCCCGGAACCTTCCCTTCCCGGAACCTTCCCAGAACCTTCCCTTCCCGGAACCTTCCCTTCCCGGAACTTCCCTTCCCTTCCCTTCCCGAACCTTCCCTAACCTTCCCTTCCCTTCCCGAACCTTCCCTTCCCTTCCCGAACCTTCCCGAACCTTCCCTTCCCGAACCTTCCCTTCCCGGAACCTTCCCTTCCCTTCCCGAACCTTCCCTTCCCTTCCCTTCCCTTCCCGAACCTTCCCTTCCCTTCCCGAACCTTCCCTTCCCTTCCCGAACCTTCCCGGAACCTTCCCTTCCCGGAACCTTCCCTTCCCGGAACATTCCCTTCCCTTCCCGAACCTTCCCTTCCCGGAACCTTCCCTTCCCGGAACCTTCCCTTCCCTTCCCGGAACCTTCCCTTCCCGGAACCTTCCCTTCCCTTCCCGGAACCTTCTCTTCCCGGAACCTTACCTTCCCTTCCCTTCCCTTCCCTTCCCTTCCCTTCCCGGAACCTTCCCTTCCCGGAACCTTCCCTTCCCGGAACCTTCCCTTCCCTTCCCGGAACCTTCCCGGAACCTTCCCTTCCCGGAACTTTCCCTTCCCTTCCCGGAACCTTCCCTTCCCGGAACCTTCCCAGAACCTTTCCTTCCCGGAACCTTCCCTTTCCTTCCCGGAACCTTCCCTTCCCTTCCCGGAGCCTTCCCTTCCCGGAACCTTCCCGGAACCTTCCCTTCCCGGAACCTTCTCTTCCCGGAACCTTCCCTTACCTTCCCGGAACCTTCCCGGAACCTTCCCTTCCCGGAACCTTCCCTTCCCGGAACCTTCCCGGAACCTTCCCTTCCCTTCCCGGAACTTTCCCTTCCCGGAACCTTCCCTTCCCTTCCCGGAACCTTCCCTTCCCGGAACCTTCCCAGAACCTTCCCTTCCCGGAACCTTCCCTTCCCTTCCCGGAACCTTCCCTTCCCTTCCCGGAGCCTTCCCTTCCCGGAACCTTCCCGGAACCTTCCCGGAACCTTCCCGGAACCTTCCCGGAACCTTCCCGGAACCTTCCTGGAACCTTCCCGGAACCTTCCCTTCCCTTCCCGGAACCTTCCCTTCCCGGAACCTTCCCTTCCCTTCCCGGAACCTTCCCTTCCCGGAACCTTCCCTTCCCGGAACCTTCCCTTCCCTTCCCGGAACCTTCCCGGAACCTTCCTGGAACCTTCCCGGAACCTTCCCTTCCCTTCCCGGAACCTTCCCTTCCCGGAACCTTCCCTTCCCTTCCCGGAACCTTCCCTTCCCGGAACCTTCCCGGAACCTTCCCTTCCCTTCCCGGAACCTTCCCTTCCCTTCCCGGAACCTTCCCTTCCCCCATCCTAGCAAGCTGATGTGTTTTGGTGAGTTGGAGCACACACCCACTTGAGCAGACAGGGAATTTTGGAAGGACTTTGGGGCAATCAGAGTTTGTCACTTCTTTGCTAGAAGTTCTGCTTTCCACCCCAAAAAGTTTTGGGCTGAGTTTTGGACTCAGATGTGGCTCTTGGGGCCTGTAGAGCTGCTGATACAAGAGCAGTACCATTCTGGATTTCCCTAGGAATCAGCAGACAGCTGCTGTTTTCACAGAATGGTTTTAACTTCAATTTCTAGCCTGTTCCCTTCTGTTAGGGTCTACAGGCACCACTCTTTGGTTACTTTTCCTGTTCTTTATGGGTAACAGAAATACAGGTTAGAAAGGGCTGGGGAGGTTGTCCAGTCCAGGCTCTGCTCACAGAGTCAGGCTGGTCAGGGCCTTTTCAGTCACATTTTGAAAATCTACAGAATGGAAATTCTTCATCTTCCTTGGGTAACCAAGCCCCTCCTGCCAAGCCCTTCCTGTGGCACAAACAAGCAGATACAAATCCCTGTGTTGTTCCCTTTCCCTCCAGGAAACAAGTCTGACCTAAGTGACCTTAGAGAGGTTCAGCTGGAGGAAGCCCAGAGCCTGGCTGAACGCTATGACAACATCATCTGTGCCATAGAGACCTCAGCAAAGGACTCCAGCAACGTGGAGGAGGCCTTTGTGAAGATGGCCACCGAGCTGATGATGAGGCATGGAGGGCCCATGTTCAGTGAGAAGAACACTGACAGCATCAAGCTTGACAGCAAAGACGTTGTGGAAGGCTGGGGGTGTGGTTGCTGATAAGAGCTAGCTGATATCCCTAACTTTACTGGAGTTTAGATGGTGCTTCACCCTAATGCTGAGTAGCATGGTAGCCATATTCTCCTCCTCCTCCTGTGAAACCAGCAATTTTGTAGAAGTTAGACACAATCCTGTTTGCTTTAGTGTCTTATTTTTTAAAAGGGACTTTGGAGAGGTGGTCCTAAAAGTCAAACCCTCTGAAAAACCTACTCAACATTTGTCCCCACGGTTTTATTTTCTGTAACCTTCATACGAGTTACAAAAATGGAGGAAATGACTTTGAACTTGGTGTTTTGGGGTGGGAACACGTTTGGCTGGGGAAGAGACTGATGCAAACCCAAAGGTCTGAGCATTTAGCATGGCACTGTGGCAAAGGAGGTCACTTTTGGAACAGGTAATCTTTACAGTGTCTCTTCAAATGACCAGGCAGTGTCAGTGTCTGATAATGGTATTTCAAGGGCCAGAACAGCCAAGATTTTGATTTCAGGACCAAATAGCAGTCTATGGATTGCTAGCTGCTGTTGGAGCAGGCCCAGGTGGGGGAGCTTCTCTCAGGTTTTGTTGTCATTTGAAGTTTAACAGAAAGCAAAACCAGCCTGAGCACTGTCACTGGACCAGGGGGGTGATTTAAAGCAGCCTTGAGGAGAGGGAAGATGCATTTCATTTGCCTGTTGTTTGCACAGTGGTAGCTCCTCTTTCCATGTGAAAGCATCACTGAGATTTTGCCCTCAGGTCTCATCATTTCATTCCACAGCTCGAGCCCTGCACCATGGAAACAGGAGCTGGAGAAGCCCTGACCTGGCTGCAGCCAAGATCTCTTGCCATGGGCCTGATGGTAAAACACGGGGTTCATTCTGTCAGGCATTTGGTGTTACATCACCAGAGTGCATCAATGGCATAAGTGGATATGATTTTTTTATTGGTTTTGTTTTTTAAACCATCTCTTTAAATACTGCATGGGCACATAATGGGAAAGAAGACCTCAGAATAGCTGAGAAGTGCATGAGTGCAGAGAGACCAGTGTCTTTTTGAGTGATTCCCTCCCAGCTTTGTACCCAAATGTCCCCCTCTTCCTATCACAAGTTACCACTTGCTTTTCATTTCTTTAGAACACTCAGCAGGAAAAATCTTTCATAGTGGATCAAAAGTCTACATAAAATAAAATAAATTTCATAATGCTGTTCTTTCAGCTGCAGCTCTGTAGAGTCCCTTGTAGATGTAGCTGAGGTACTGATGGATTCCTCTGCAGTTTCACTCTCAGGCACCTTACAGAAGTGGATTTGCAAAGAGAGCAGGAGCAGCAATATTTTTAAACTCTGCAGAGGTGTTCAGGTATGGCAAGGGAATTTTGCAATCCTGATAATTGGAAGGAGTCACTTTCAAGAAGCACCATTTGAAGGGAATGTCTTGTCTCTTCGAAAAATCCAGGTCAGAAAGGACTTGAATTGTTTTGCTGTGAGGGCTGCACCAGTTCAGTCATCCAACATATCCAGTGTCATGAAAATTAGGAAGATTTAGGTAAGGGCTAATGGATACCAATTTTAATCCTATTCATCTTCCTGTAGCAAATATTGAAACAATCTCTGCTCTTACTGGTTTTTTAAGCTGTGAGGTAGATAACTGAGTAGTGATGTGTGCTTTGTGGCCTGTTTGCTTCTATCTAAGGGGTTAGTTTCTAAATTTTATAGCTGTGAGAATGAAAAGGCCTTAAATTTTTCAATTAGTGTAGTTTTCACAATTCTGGTATTTTCTGCAGAAGGGCAGGCTGAGCTGCAGTACTTGGTAGTGCTTTTGGATGGTCTTCCAGGATATTCCTGCTTCCAAAGACAGTAGGCAATAAATGCCCAGTTAGGCAGTTGGGAATTTGAAATTGGGAATGGGAATGGGAATTTTCCAAACCCTGGAGCTCTCAGCAGAAACTGTGAAGTCAGTCCAGGCTCAAACTGAGTGCTGGTGGCTGCTTTTGCTGCTGTGAGGCCCTTCAGGCACAGAATATTTGCAGACATTTGATTTTCTGTCATGACCCATTGCAGTTTGTACCTGCAGGTCGTGGCCCTGCAGTTCTGCTGGAGCTGGGACCCCCAGATGAGCTCAGCCCCACTTCCTGCAGCATCAGTGCCAAATTATTCACTGTTGGGAAAAACCCACATGCATTTGAGAGCAGTATTGCTACTTCTCAGACCGAAATCCATAGTTTACATAGCAACTCATCCTAAAACTGGAACAAGAAGCAAATGAACATAAATCCTGCTTCCAGTGCAGCCAGTGAGTGATTGTGTTTTTACAGTAGATGAAGAACTGAGGAATTATTGATCCATTTTGTTCTTTTTGAGGTTTGTTTAGTGAATAAGTAGAATTAGACCAGGCACTACACTTTTCATTACAATTTGCCTGGATTTATCCCTTAAACTGGGCTTGAAGGGTGAGGCTCTGCCTGCAGGTCAGTCTGGTTCAGTCAGAAAATGTGCAATACAGCAGCAGAGATTTGTTTGCTGTACTTTAAATGAAGGCACCAATTCCAATTCATTTTCAGTTTCCTGCAGAAAACTAGAACCATGGCTTTAAATCACTTTTGTCTTTTAACTCTTGGCTCTTCTGTCTTGTACCAAGTGGAGTACAAGTTTGCATGCCCTCCTAACTGAGCAAAAGAAATAGAAGAAGACTTGGTTTATTTTTAATTTTTAAAGAAAGAAGACTTGGTTTATTTTTAATTTTTTTTCAGAAGAAACCCAATGACCTGGTTTATTTTTTAGATTAGCAACTGGTGGTGCTTGGGCTGTCAGTAGTTAAAGTTTATTTTGATTACCAAACCCTTCCTTTGTTCACTGCCCACCAGGCTGGGAGCTCCTTGACCAGAAATAAACAGAAAATGTGGAGATTTTCAGTGCTGTGCTGAAGGTTTTATCAAACCTGGGACTCTCACCCAGCCACGGAATTCAGGAATTAGGTTGGTTTAACTCCATTAATCCTATTGAAACTAAAAGGGTACCTGGGTGGAGAAGGTGAGGAGCAATAAAGCTGTGATTTATGGGTGAAAAGCTGAGTTTCACCTCTGAGGGTACAAATGGGCACTGATGTACATCAAGTGAATAATTCAGTAGTGCTTGCTCAGAGTTCACAGCACCAACATTTGCCAGGAAATCTGTTTACTGCCAGTTGAACATTAACAAGGCTATGGTGCAGTAATTGCTTTTAAGCAGATCCCCTTGGCTGATCATGTATTTGCATTAGTATTTATCATTTCTTTTTGGCAGGACCAAAGTGTGCAAAAATATTACAGAAGCACAGGAGGGGACATTGATCTCTGCCTTGTAGCACTTGGGAGTGGAAGGCAGAGGCAGATACTGAAATGAAATCATCAGCAGAATGTGGTTCCCAGGAGCCTTTGTTACCCTTTGTATTGATTTTAAGCTCAATTTATCTCCAGTTTCTCATCCAGTCCATCATCATGGATGGAACTTGTACAAATATTTATAATTACATCAATATAAAACCAACTGTCAGCCCAGAACCCTGTTAATGTTTGCTTTGCAAAGCAAAATTTGAGTAAAATGAGAACACTGAAGAACAGAGGAGAAGTCCTGATGATTTTCTTACTCTCACTGTACTGGCAAGCAGGTTTTTCAGGGGGAAAAATCCAAATGAAGCCCAGCTAAAACCACTGATAGCTCTCCTGTTAGGTAATGCTGATAGATTTCCAAGAACTTCACCAAAAGTAGAACTTTTGCTCCTTTTGGGTGCCTGGGCTGTCATATGTGAAAACAAGGGTTTGGGGGATTGTCCTTTGGACATGGCATGCAAACTTGTCCTGGAAACTTGAAGACATTTTTTACAAGTGAGCCAGGAGCTCACTTGTAAAAAGGTCCTGACCTTTAAAGGAGCAGAATTCACAGAGCCAGAAAGCTGCAGGCAGAGGCCTCCCAATGTCTTCAAAAGCATCTCGGTACCTTTGCAAATAAAGCACAAATCTTGTGTGGAAGTGGTTTTGCACTGAAGGGAAATAATTATCAGAGAAAAAAAAATCATTAATGTGAAAGGCAGAGCATCTTGATTATTCTGCATTTTTCATGTTCATTTCCTAGTTCAATGCTGTGCATAAGTAAGATTTTTTTCCCTTTATAAATGATATTAAAATAGATAAAGTGTGAAAAGTAGTTTGATACTTGACAAAATAAATGCTTTCTTAGGAGAGTGATAATATTGATGAGGAGAATAACTTTGCTGATAGGGTTTGGTGGTGCAGTGTCAGGGATTCCCCACAGAGTTGTGTTGGAATGATGTGAGACACAAAAACCATTCCCAAAACAGGGGAAGCCAGTGGGGGACGCCAGGCCCTGTCCTGCTTGCCAGAAAATACAGGCTGGTACTGAGCAGAAGGTGAATTTAGTTCTTTGTAACTGTTTTTAAAGATTTCTGTTTCAGATTTCTGCTGGGCAGATGTGCTCTGTGCTGTCAGGCAGATTTTCCCTCTCCTGTGCCTCACTCGCTGAGATCCGCCAGGTGAAATCCCCACGAGTGCAGAGCAGGGAGCATCCCAGCCAGTCTGGCTCACACACACCTTCTGGGGGGGAAGGAAAAAAATCTCTAATTCATATTGAATTCATTCACTGCATTCCAAAATTATTTGAGGGGTTTGGGTGATAACAGTGTTAAAATGGTTCTGCATTTTCTGGGACAAATCTGTTGCTTTTCAAGGTTTCTTCGAGAGATGCAGGCTGTACATTTCTAATCATCAGTAACTGTTTTGCTTTTAAACTTTCTTATCTCAATACTGACTAAATGATTTGGAATTTGAGGAGACAAGGGAGCAAGCTTGCATACTACAGTAATTTTTTATACTTTACCTTCATCTATTTATGAATTTATTATGAAAAGTATTTTTAAACATGAAACCTGCTTTTGTTGTGAATTTTAGCAAAGTAGTGGATACATTGTACTGTGTATCATTAAAAAAGGTTTAATTAAAGTAAACATTTGGCAATTAATACCTTTTGTTGTTATTTTATGCATGTACCTTGTGGTATATGATCAGAAACAAAATCAATTTTAGGAAATGATGTATTCTGTCCTACAGTGATGTATGGTCTACTTTTACCAAGATACGACCTAATGTACTCTTAATTAAACAAATGGTGCTGAACTAACTTCCTCTTACCCTCAAATGTCCATCAGCTCCAGCAATGCATGCACTTCCAATTGTTCCACTCAGCAAACTCTCCAGCAGAGCTGTCTGGGAGATGAAGAACGAAACCCCAAATGCTCAGTGTTGGAGAAGTGCAGATAACCCTGCCAGTGCTTGCAATTAAGTGTGAACAATGCTGTACCTCCCCAGGGGAATGTTTACATCCTGGACTTGATTGAAGTGCTGTGAATTAAACAAAGCAACACCCCTTTCTCTTTGCTTGGCTCTTTAATTTGAGCGTCAGCACATGGGAGTTGGTGATCCACAGGAGCCAACTATTGAATTTCTCGGTGTGCATTGTCTGCTGCTTCAGTAACAGCCTCAGGTGCCAAAGGGGGAGTTGTCAGTGCAATGGCCAGGCTCTGGAGCTGCCTCCTCAGGGTGCTGGTGCAGCTGGATTTGTCACTGAATTCTCTTTAAGGACTCATTTTTACTGTAACTGCCCTGGCAGGGTGTGCTGGAGGGAACTGGTGAGAAATGGAAAGAGTGAAGGCATCACTCAGTGAGTAACATCTGCTCCTGGGAGGGACTGACCTGCATTGTCTCATCTTCTGTACATTAAACTGGAGCTTCTAAGTCTGTGTGGGCAAAAAACCCGTTTCCCTTTTAATAGCTTGTTATAAGTGCATGTGATTCCCAGAAATTATTTCCCATTTCTGGGAACTCTCCCTGGAATTCTCCAAGAATGTGAAATACTTTGGATACAAGAGATCTACACACACTACGACCATTTTTCATTGGCTGTGGTGACCTGACCTTTCACTATGTTGTTTGTACCTGCAAAAAAAACCCCTCTATTTTTATAGTTTAAGTTCACTTAATATTTTGTAGTTCATACCTAAAAAAAAAAAAAACAAACCAAAAAAACAACCAAAAAACCCCAAACCTGTATTTTTTATAGTTTAACTTCACTGAATATTTTTCCTCCACATCTATGGGCAAGAAGTTAACTGTTAAACTAGCAAAAAGCATTTTCCCAGGTATAATTCCATAAAACAAGACACCAATCCCAAATCCTATAGAAAATCAGATTCTGAGACTCTTACCTGCGCACCAGGTGCTCCTTCTGCTTCAGGAACAGATCAATAAATAAAGCAATAAATAAATAAATCACCTGCTGGCTGTTAAACTGCAAGGCATGTTTACCATGATCCCAGTACTGAATTCTGAGCTTGGCATAAAAACCAACACAATGCAGGGAGGAGAGGTTTTAGTTAAGACCTGCTGAGTGCCAGGTGGTCTGAATTAGACAAATAAAGCAATCTTTACACAAAGTAAACCCACCTGTGCTCTTTGGAATATGCACTCATCTGTTTTACTCACAGAAACACTTTGCTGAAACTTGTAAGTGCACAGCCTGTTTCTGTCAATGTTGAAAACAGGATTTATTTCATCACCCCAGAACTCACCTTGTGCAGACAGAAGAGTTTACCACAGGCTGTGTGAGATGTGCTGTGGTATCTGCTAGTCCCCATTTCTGTACAAGTTACAGAGCACACAGGGCACCACTGAGTTCCAGAGAAATTCCTGTAGTAATCCCAGCTTCCCCCCTTTACACTGATGGAAGGAGATTTCCACCTCTTTTGGCAGCTGCCTTCTGTGTGTAGTTTTATCCAGGTCACTATTTCTAAAATTTCCTTTCTTTTCTTTCCATCTGCTGTTTTTTCAGCATTTTGGCTTTTTGAGGGTCTGCCTCTCACCAGGCTGGAGCTCAGTCCATGGAGCTGGAGAATGTGGAATACCCTGAGCCTTGGAGGGTTTTAGATTTGTGATGTGACAGAGCAAAAGGAACTGTCTTCCTTTTCCACAAACACATTTTATGTTAATGTTTCCATGAGGGATGAGCTCTAAGAGGTCCATACACAGTTCCTTCATGAACCTTTTGAAGTGTTCATGCACATTGTAGAGAAAAAAAAGGAGAAACACACAGAACCTTTTCTGTTCTTCAGCAACTTCCAACATTTTTATTCCTTACTTCACTGATTCTGGTGAAGTTAGAGAGTTTTGCAACATGCTTTAGTACTGAAACAATGTGGCTTTAAATCATCCTGAGCTTACAGAATTACAATCTTTACTTAGATTCAGCATTCTTTGCAAATACCTTGTATATGACAGGAAAGTGCTAAAGGAACAGGTGGATATCTTTTCATTGTACCAATAAAAAGGCAAGAATGTGCTGCTGTAAATACTTTTCCAGTGAAGAAGCAGGAAATGAACTGTTCAGGGCAGTGTCCTCACACTGCATGCAGTGAGACACTGGAAGCTGCTCAGGAAACATTGCAAGAGAGGAATCAGCAATGCTGGCAGGGCAGGGGGATTGCAGGGCTCTGCAAACACAGGGAACACACCACAAAATCTGACTGCACAGCAGCCCTGGGCTCTCAGAGCTGCTGCTGGGGTGAGGAGCAGGGAGGGATTTGGCCAGGAGGTCATTCTGAGAGCCCTGCAGGAGGAACCTGGGAGAATGAACACCCAGGCTGTGTTTGTACAATTTCTGATTTGAAAAAAAAAACCACCAATCTTAAAAACCTGACTAGTCCCTAATGTGGATTGATCTCTGTGTGTAGGTTGACTTTGGTTTAAAACAATTAATTGGGTTATGTTTTCCAAGCTTATGTGTTATAACAACACAAAAATATTTTCAAAGGCATCTTTGGGATGAAAACTTTAGAAGTATTTTACGAAAATAATAAAAAAATAAATTACTTTTTCTTTTTAAACTAACAGCTATAAAATCCAACAACCAAACAACATGTAACATCGACATGAGATGAAATATATTACACTAAAGGCCAGTTAATTACCACAGTGGTATGAGGCTTCAAGTAAATTAGGAGGCACTTTTTGGCTGAGCAGTAGTCACTGATTCAGTGTAAAGTCCCAACTCACAGGAAACAAAACTACTAAAGCTTTCTAAGGTTCAAAATTCAAAAAAGGAGAGGAGGAAAGGGGAAAGGAAAGGAAAGGAAAGGAAAGGAAAGGAAAGGAAAGGAAAGGAAAGGAAAGGAAAGGAAAGGAAAGGAAAGGAAAGGAAAGGAAAGGAAAGGAAAAAGGAAAGGAAAAAGGAAAGGAAAAAGGAAAGGAAAGGAAATGCATATAGAAAGGCAAAGAGCAAAAAGGCTACAGAGGGCACCCAGGTCTGCTGCTTCCCTTCCTGGACTATGGAGTTCCAACACAATTAAGGCTTCACACAGCAGAGGAGCAATAAAACTCCAGGGACATGGGAGAACAGGCACAAGGCAAGGCAGCAGCAGGTCAGATGAGAGCAAGTCCAAAGTGGAACAGGTTGAACTCCACTCTGATTGAAGGGAGCATTCAGTACTTGCAGAATTCCAGGCATTAATACTTGTTGTGCTCTGTACAGCCCACGTGGAATGGACTGAGTGACCCCAGCACCACAATCTGGTATCATCAAGATCATCAACACCTAAAAGCTAAATCTTCCAGCAAACAAAAGGAGGTGATGTTGTAGAGGGATTTAAGTACCAGTACATGAATAGGTTACTATGAAATATTGCTGTTAAAGTCCCTAACATAACAAAGAGGAAGACAGTAAGGGGTAACTCCAGCCATAAATTACATATTTAGAAGCAATATAAAAAGCACTATTGATATTCAATATAATTAAACACACACATGTACCTACATGTACTACTTAATAGAAGATTGTATTCATTTGGAAGGCAGCACTTTGTGGCACTCCTGTAAAGCACAGTGTGTTTGGGCAAGAAAAGCACAGCACTGAGTGGTCCTTCAGAAATCCCCTCACCTCAACGAGGTGCAAAGTTCTCCAGCTGGAAGACCAGGTCCACAGCAGCATCCACATCGGGCACAATGTGGTCCGGCTCCACCAGGGCGGGGTCGAAGCTGAAATCCCTGTGCCCGTGGAACACGTTCTCAGCCACGCTGTCCCTGCTGGGCACGGCCCCCTCGCTCGGGGGGTCGTACACCCCTGTGCACACCAGCACGGACCTGCAGCGGGCAGCGGCTGCGGGGGCCAGCTCCGAGTCCCAGCCAAGCTGGAGGTGCTGGGGAAGCTGGGGAAGCTGGGCAGGGGCTGTTCCTGCAGCAGCCTTGGCCTGCAGCCGGGCTCTGGGGCAGCTCTGCTGCAGGTAGCGGTTGTACAGGTTGGCTCCGTACACATCCGTCATCACATTGTCCCTGCAAAGCACAAACTCGGTCAGCGCCTCAGCTGCAGCTGTCAAAGGCATTCTTGCGTTGCATCATTTTGGAATAGAGATTGTTGTATTGCACTAAATAGTTTATTTAGTTGTTGTTTTGCACTGGGAGATGGGAAATTTGTACTGAATATGTTATGTCACATAGATTGCTGTTTCTCTTCTTCCATCCGATGGTTTCTCCCTTATCCACCCCTCTGCCCTGGTGATCTGCCCCCCCTGGTTATCTCTCCCTTCGCCCCTCCTCAATGGGATCCCATTGACTGCAGTCCTCTTTCCCCACCCCATTCCCTCGGGTGTAAAAGTCCCCTGCAAGAAAGCAACACTCTCTTTTCCACCTGGGATTTCACCAGAGTCTGAGGTGTCCCTTCCCAAGCCAATAAACAGGACATTCATTCCCACATGGAGAAGAGTGTTTCTCATCTTTTGCTTTGTCCATGTCAGACCGTGTGGGCCAGAGTCCATTGCCAGCCTGGAGTGACTCAAACAACAGCCCCAGAGATACGGATCTTACAAGAGATTTTTGGAGTTCACTTGAGTTAGCAATATGAATGAAGCATTTTAATTTTAGCTTGTAGAATTATGTGTTGAATTTTAACCTTTTACTTAAGAAGCCTCTGCCATGATACAAAGGGCATAGGAAAATGCAAATTTCTGAAGCTTCTTGCATCAAGAACAATATAACGAGAAGACCAAGAGATTCAAGAAACCCAGCTAAAGGGGCTCCTCGGTCTCCAAGCTGATCAAGGCCGACAGACGTACTCAGATAAGCACCAAGGTGTAGGGGGATACAGGATGGGTGAATGAAGGTGGTACAGAATGTAATCTTATCCCCGAAAGAGTTACAGCTGAACCAATTACTAAAGATTAGGAGCAGGCCTGATGTTAACAGGCCACACCTGTAGCCAATAAGAACAGTGTTATAGAAGAGTGGATTGGTGAAAGCTGGAGTCAGTTGGCTGCTGTGAGGACAAGGAAGAGGCAGTGCCTCGAGCAGCTGCCTACAAGGAACACCAGGGAGGTATGAAACTCTAGCAATATGGAACCCTTGCAATGTAATGACAATAGAACTCGTGCACTATAGAGACAAAACACCAAGAGACCAAAATACATGTGCAAAGGAGAAAAGTTCCAAAGTTCAGTCATGAGGAAGACCACAGTCTTCGGCCTCAGAGATCACTAAGAGACCCCCTAGCGAACACCACAGCAAACAATGCATGCCCAGAAGGACCTGGATCTGATTACCATGCGAGGCGAGGAGGGGCCAGGGGTTGAATATGCACGGCAAGGTTGTGCAATGTATGGAACATGGAATATCTTTGAGAATGAAGATGTGGGTCAGACCGAGGCTCAGGGCACAAGTTTTCACGAGAGCTATCTCGCTTGTGTCGGCTGCTGACAATACGTACCCACTTCATAACTACATCAGACTGTGGAGTCTAATTATTCTGTGTATCCCTTCAATTTCATCTAACACTTTACTGTGTACTTTCCACCACTTTGTGTGGAATCAGGCAGACAGGGAGAAGTCCAACCCCTCAGCTATTTTACTGCACCATTTTCATGAATCACTCTCCATACTGGGGCAAGGGGAGAGAAAATCAAGGTATGAGCAGCCCATGAATGAGCTTATTATATTGCCAAACGTCTTGGAGACTCTGAAACAGTCTTTTATACAATGCAGCTTTATCCTTATCTCTGAAAAGGATTCTGTGATGTGGCAGCACATGCAGTAGCATATGACCACGCTAAATGACCTCAGAGATCAAGTCCAGCTCTGCAGTCTCTAACTGTCCTTTGCTCAAAGGCAGTTGGTGTTACACCACTAAACCTAACAGAATAAACACCAGGCAAACCCTTTGTGTTAGATTCACACAGCCTATTACAGAAAAAACCTAAATAAAAAATCAGGAAAATCTTAGCTGCGTATAAAACACCTTTTGTGCTCCTGCAGAAATTACACGTAAAAAGAGCAAAGCATCGTTAATTTTTAAGATTAGAAATGTCATGAAAGATACACCATAGCACCAAGAAAGTTAGGAGGTCTTAATGGTAGGAGAAACAAGCTGGTAGGAGCTGTGTGTTTTTCTTGGCTGGCATTTACACTGTGAGTAATTTCCTGGTGTATTTGTCAGGCTCAGCACCCCTGACCCCAGAGCACAGAGGATTTCCTGCTGTACCTGTGGGGCTCAGCAGACCTTACCCCACAGCATAGAGGGTCTGGATGGGCTGCTCCCAGCTCCTCTGCAGGGCCTGGGCCCGGATCAGGTGCTCTGCATACTGGTATGTCAGCCTGCTGGGCTTGCCCATCAGCGCCTCGTACTTCAGGTCTCTGCCAGTGATCTTCTTGTAAATGTTTTCCAAACAAACCATGAACGTTCCGTGCCCAAACCTACAGAGATATGAAAGCAAACCATGAATGTTGTGCGTCCAAACCTACACAGATAAAAAACCAAACCATGAATGTAACTATGAACATTCCATCCCCAAACCCACACAAATATAAATCCAAACCATGAACATTCTGTGTCCAAACCATGAATGTTTTGTGTCCAAACCAAATATAAAAACCAGATAAAAACCAAAGCATGAATGTAACCATGAACATTCTGTGTCCAAACCAACACAGATAAAAAACCAAACCATGAATGTTTTGTGTCCAAACCTACAGAGATATAAAAACAAACCATGAACATTCTGTGTCCAAACCTACACAGATAAAAAAACCAAATCATGAACTTTCCATCCCCAAACCTACACAGATAAAAAACCAAATAATGAATGTAACCATGAACATTCCATCCCCAAACCTACAGAGATATAAATCCAAACCATGAACATTCTGTGTCCAAACCTACACAGATAAAAAACCAAACCATGAATGTAACCATGAACGTTCCATGCCCAAGCCTGCAGAGATATAAAACCAAACCATGAACTTTCCATCCCCAAACCTACACGGACAAAAAACCAAACCATGAATGTTTTGTGACCAAACCTACAGAGATATAAAACCAAACCATGAATGTTCCATGACCAAATCTACACAGATATAAATCCAAACCATGAACATTCTGTGTCCAAACCTACAGAGATATAAATCCAAACCATGAATGTTTTGTGTCCAAACCTACAGAGATACAAATCAAATCCATCAATGTTCCATCCCCAAACCTACACAGGTATAATACCAAATCAAATTACATTAAGCACAGATTTAAAACATCAAACTAGGCTTTTTTATTTCATTATTTTTTAGGAATAAATTGTGTCCTGCAACTACCAAATTCTGCTCAGCACTCAATATTTCTGCAGCTGGTTCACTGAAAATTTAGAGCTGATTAGCTGAACAACTGACACCACAATAAACCCACATTACTGAGATGGCACAACAGATTTATCTAATTTTAAAATTGCTCACTGGAGGTATCCTAGCTGCCTTAGTGCAGCCTGAAGCCATCACACAGATATCTTTTCCAGTGTGTTAATTAGAGATGGCCTCTGCTTCCAAAGACTGGTATCTGAGCAGATCTTTCACCCAGGACTGAGGCAGCCACCAAGTCACAGCAAGAAATTTCCATTTCAAATTACAGACTGAGGGGAAGGGAGGGGAAACAAACCTATTAAAGAAGTACCTTCTATTGAAAGCCAAATCAAACAAAACCTCTCTAAGAGGTCCTGGCACCTTGTTCTGTGTGTTCTGCTTGTTTTTCCTTGTGTTCCCTAAAGAGCTCACTGCATTGTCCTCAGCTCAGAACCACTCACTGCTTTCAACCAGCAGGGTCAGCCCTTTACCCTAGCAGGAAAAGAGAAATACCAAAGAGGGACCTAATGAAATGAAACAATGGCCTTGATAATTTTTTCATTTTTGCCTTTGAACCGAGGCTCTGAGGCCCTCAGGAAAAAAACCTCTATTTCTCCATTGTTCTGGGACTGAGGAAACAAAAGATTTAGAGCTTAAAAGCAGCTTTTCTCTTGAGAAGTGATTTCCTGGATGCAATAATGCAGCCAGCAGCCAGGCAGCATTAGCTGAAAGTGCATTAGAGATGCTGCATTCAAAGGCAAGCCATCAAGCATTCGAGTGCTGACTCTGAACCCGGCTGGAAAAACCCCAAATAAATCCCAGTGACATGAATAAAGCACCTACCTTGGGGACTGTGCCTCAGCCACCCACATCAGGTCCATGTTGCAGGCCAGCACAGGGATGTGAGGGTAGCTCTCCTGCCCATAGGGATTGCCAGGATAGCCACTGGTCAGCAGAACGTCGATGATCAGCTGCAGGCTGGTCTCCCATCTCACTGGCTCCCCAAACAGCACCACAGCTGGGAGAAGCACAGGCACACAACAGCCATGGAATTGTCAACAGAGCACTGAGGCCTAAAACTTGGCCTAAAGAGACTGAACAAGTCATTTAATACAGCCAGGAACTGATCAGTCACATTAATTTCGGGGTTTAATATATCACATGCCCATCCAGTCACAGAAATCTCAGAAGTAACAAGACTCCACTGCAAAATTTACAGATTTAGGAATTTTATTTTACAGGTAAAGTTTCTCCAGAAATTACAATATTAACTTCTAAATTGTATTTCTAAGTCTTCCATAATTTATGAGTTCCCTGTTTACATGCAGTATTTAAATGCAACACCAGAGATGTTGATTTGTTCACCTCAGAACACAATTTGGATGTTGTTTTTAAAAATTGCTTTGATCTCCAGCAATAATCTGACATGGATATTTTTAAATCCTAAGGTCCAATTTCTACTTTCCTGTAGATGAGATGAGAGGAGAGTGAGCACAAGACCCTTCTCACACTACAGCTGATCCTGACTACTTGTAAAAACAAGATTAATTATTTCTGAATAATGAACATCAGCTCATTATGAAAGGAGAGCAACAATAATCTGTTAAAGGCAGATGAAGAGGAAAGGAGACCTCATACACCCTTCAAACTTCAAAACCCAGTGGCTGAAAACTGCACACATTAAAAAACAGCTTTACAAGGCACGATGCTTTCAAATGAATGACAGATGTCATTAACAAGGAAATTTTAGGATTGTCTCAGACAAATTTTCAAAGTGCCCAACAATCTAAAAAATAATTTCTGATAATAAAATAAAATAAAATAAAATAAAATAAAATAAAATAAAGCTATTTCATTTATTAATGGATAGATGCAAGTTAAATAAGGATAACTGACCCTCAATCTTGGGAAGCTCCACAGCAGACGGGGACTGCAATAAGAAAAAAGTGAAAGTTTTCTGCAAGATGAAACATCTATTTTTAACAGAATAAATTCCAGCTCAGCTCCCACAGCTGCCTCCTGCCCCTCCAAGAGGAAATGCACTCTACATTGGTATATTCCTGATGTCAGTTCACTCAGAAACTTGTGTTTCCTCTCTGAGGTGACACCTCTGGCACAGGGACTGCAGTGACTGAGCTGTACCTGCTCCTGCCTCCTGCTTCCCCTCAGCTGCTGTTTTTTAACTCCAGCTGTTAAAATTCCTTGTGTTGTGATTTCAGTTGTTTAGATTACTTGTTTAATTAGTTGTTTTAACTACTTGTGTAGAAAAGTATAGATGTTTATTTTACCACAGGAGTAAGAGGCCTCCAGCAGTACCAGGACATTTGAAAAACAGATTTTGAGATGTTTTTCTTTAACACTTCTAATAAAGAATGCACTGTATAACACGTAATATATTTGCTGAACCATTAAGAGTCTGCACTCCATTATTTACTCTGTGTGGTGACAAACACTTTAGCAGGTTCTTGACCTTCCCCACAGCTGAGCTATGATCCTGTGAGCCACAGAGAATGTCCTCAGTACAAGTGAGGAAATCCACTCTGTAGGCTGGCCCTGAGCATGTACAGCACACCCAGATATACTCAATTCTGCTTTAATTCTGCACAATCCAGCTGGAACCACTGTACCCACTGCTGACATTTAAATTGTGATGTAAACAGCAAAGGGAGTCCTTTGAGGGAAAATTGTTTCTCTTCAAAGCTTTCATTTGCAATCAAAGCAACCTCATGGGTCAGAAACAATAGCAACACAATCATATATTCAGGGAAAAGCTTATGTGATCTTCCACACCTTCTGAGGAAGCTGATCAGCTTTCCAAGGCAGATTTTGCTTTAAGTATCTGTATTAGATTGTGAGTTTTCCCACAACAGCAGGCTATAAAATCAAAGGCTGGGTTAAAGAATTACTACTGAGAGAAAGGAGTTGTTCTTGAGAATGTTGTAATAAAACAAATAAGGAAGCAGAAAAGTCAAAATACAATGTAAGAACAGCAGCATTAGCTTGGTAGTCAAATATTGATCCCTGTTGCAGGATGTCATGCAAGGAGCAAACAGAGAGGTTTGAAACACAAACGTCACTCACCAGGACATTGGGTCTTCTGTCATGGTCAACTGCATCGAGCAGGGGGCGTTTCTCCCTCAGAGTGTCAATGGTGATGGGCTGGCAGAAGCCAAGGCTGGGGCAGCCAGCTAAGGACACACAGCTGCTCACAGGGAAAGGTTTTCTGACTGCTCATTCCACTTTAACCATTTAAAGGTAACAAATTGGTTAGCAATGAAAGCAACATCAAAGACAGATTTTCCTTCTGTGAGGCAAAAATATGATCTGATAAATGAGAGGCCAAAGTTCTTCTGTTTTGTTTTCAGTCCTCTCATCTACTTCTCTCCTAGCCAAGCCTAATGAATATTGAATTTAGAAATGCATTTCCTAAGAGACAGTACCTTCAATACCTTTTTCTCAGTTTTGTACTTCAAATAGAGTATACTCATACTCTATACTTATGCTTAAAAGTTGTACATACATTTTTACAACTTATGATTTACACCAACTTCAATGAAAATCCCACTGAAGGAAGAAGTGCAGAAGGGGCTTAATGGAAGCCTGAGCAAAGCTTATGCAAAAGTTAAGGTTATTAAGTTACAGTTTGAAACTTTGATACCACCATGATATCAATATTATTCAAGTCCTTTGGGCACTTGGTATAAAACCACATTCAAAACATAAATTTGGCACCATACTAGGAGCTATCATTACTATTTATTATTGCATTTGTAGGGTTGAAATATCTAATTTTCACTTCATCCATAGGCTCCCCTGAACCTGATTAAGGAAAACACATTGGCAGAAAGTTGTTGGCTTTTTTAAACTCTTTTTTTAAAGATACTCTCGAGCAATATCAAGAAGGGGTCCTTGTCCAGATACCAGGACACATTTTTTATGATAACGCTTGAACATCCGCAGGGGACTGTGGGACATCATCACTTGATCTTGGGAAATCTGTTTGGGATTTAAAAACAAAAGGAATCTGTTGTATGCCAGAGAAGTTGTTCATACATAGATTCAATTAACAGATGTGACAGATTCCAGGAATTACATAACAATCAGCATTTTCTCCTTGCACAAATGATGTATTGATAATATGCCAGAAAAAAAAAAATACCTTACTGACAAGTTATCACACATCCCCCTTTCAGCTCCCAGCTCGATTCAACATGAGCAAGCCTTCTCTCCTGGTTTGATAAAATCACCAAGGGAAGGAGGATCAGAACTGGTTCCAATTGTGGGCCCTTTGCTAAACTGCAGCTGTGATTTAATTGTACCAGATTACCACCTTCTTTTAGCTTACACATCCCCACCCCTTCACCAGGACAGGTGAAGCAACCAGCCAGACTATTATTGTGGAAAGATGCTCCTGTGAATCACTACTTACCATCTTTCCAAAGAAATACCTTCAGCTTTACTATTGGAAAAACCAGTGCCTTTACCAGTTAGGTTTGGACAGCACTTTTTACTTTCAGCAAAGCACATCAGGGGGCTTTAAGGGAAAAGCAGCCCTGATGAGCTGAGCAGCATTTCATGGAAAATAACACATCTAACATGCAATTAAACATGCAATAAATGGGATTGAGGTGACTCACGGGAACCCCCAGCAGGTGGGACAGCTGCTCAGCCTTCTTCTGGCGCAGGCAGTTCCCAGCGTTGGTGACAAAGACCACGGGCACCAGGAACTGTCCCTGAGGGTTCACCAGCTTGCCAAAGGCTGCTCTGGCAGCAGGGATGGGGGTCCTGCCTCGCACCAGCACCCCATCGATGTCAAACAGGAACCCAAAGGATGGCAGCACGTGGGGCTGGGAGGAGGGATGAAATCAGAGGGTACATTGGTTATGCATGTCCTTATATATTACATTAAATATTACATATTACATTCAATATTACATATTTAATAGAGTTTACAGCAGCTACAGCCCCCTGAGAACAGACTCCTACAGTGAGAGCAGGGGAGCTATAACCCTGCACATCTTATTGAGCCTTACAGGCACATCTTCATGCTAAAAACATGTTGACACAAGCAGCACCACAACTCCCTCTGCCTTGTGGATACAGACTCATGAGAGTTATTTTGCCTTACAAATAGTTCCAGATTGTTTCAGAGGATAGGGAAAAATTAACTTAAACTGATGCCAAGAGGTACAAAATACATGCTGCTGTGCCAGTGAGTCACACTTCAATGGCTTAACCCCCCACAGGATACTAACAAAATATGCAAAAGTAAATTTTTCAGCAGTAGGCAGGTCTTGGGCAAAAGTATCACAAGTATTGTACTTGGCTGCTCCCTTCCAAGGTGTTTGTAGTAAAACTGTTCTGTTCCACAAGAGTTTGATTTCGGCCAAGTGCCTGCTGTGCTCCCACACATGGCCTCAGTCCCAGTTTCACACAGGGCAGGCTAATTGGCAAAGTCAGCACCTCCTTACACCAATGCTGCTCAAATTACTAAAATGTAACTGTGAAATGTAATGTCTCCTTGCCTGCCTTTGGGGCAGTGAGGAGCTGGACTCGGTGAGCCCCAGCAAGGAGAGTGAGGAAGGAGGAGCAGAGACAGAGAGAGGAGTGTGAGCAATGAAACTCTTACTGGATAGGGCTGGGAAAGCACGGAACAAAACCGAACATCAGGAACCTCGGGATTATGGTCAGTGATAAAGAGAGAGGGGTTAGGGGGAACAGGCACAGAAAGGGCTCAGCCCCGGGAGCTGGGGCAGCCTTTGCTGCCGTGTCTCCTGTGCAGGTGGAGAAGGCACTTTCCCTACTCCAGCAGCACTTTGCTCCACATCGGCGATTCACACACCACGGTTTTCCTGCAGCGGGCACGGCACAGGGACAGGCACCGCTGGGAATGGGGTGCAGCTCAAACAACAGCGGGAATCCGCCGCCCCAGGCAGCCCGGGTTAATAACATCAACACTGGAAATATATTGCATTCCCGTTCATTTAAATTAGGCTGGGGTTTTGTCTTCACATGCAAGAACTCCCCCTAAAGCCTTCTCCTCTCTTCTCTGTGGAATCATCACCCTTTTAAGAACAAAACCCCCGAAATCCTGGTCTCCACATAGCCTGCACCCGTTTCAGGAAAGCCAGGTCAGAAATACCCCAGCTGCTGCAGAGATGATGCTAAAGGCTCGCTAATAAACGCGGAGCAGTCTTCCCAGGCTTTGTGAATGGATACATGGAACTGCTGAAACTACAGCGGCATTGGAATAATTTTGTAGCAGATGCGATCCTTTACGTTAATTTTGCGACATATGAATAACAGATGTATAGATAACAGGTTACAAATGGGAATTTTACAGTGAGTAACACCAGCAGGAAGAAAAAGAAAGGGGGGAAAAGCAATAAGGAAAGAAGTGAATATATATATATATATATGATAGATATCATGACAGATAGAGGTACTGAAGTCAACAGCTTTGTTTCCCTTTTGACCCTAAAGGAATTGTTGGTGGCAGGAGTGCTGTGCCGCGGACAGAGCCGGCAGCGGTCGGAAGGAGTTTCCCTGGTTCGCTCTGTAAGGCCGGAGCACACGCAGCCCCGGGACAGGAGCTGCGGCCGGCAGTGCCCGGGAAATCCGTCCTGGCGTCCCGGGGAAGCGAGGATACCCCGGGCATCCCCGGGGGGCCCGGCTGCGCTCCGCCGCGCCCCGCGCCCCTTTCGCTTTCGCTGCGCCCGGCCCGCCCGCCCCGGGCCCCGGCCCCGGGCCCCGGCCCCGCTCACCGCGCTGTGCCCGCTCCGCCCGGCCGGGGGCCCGCGCATCCCCTGCTCGAGAGGCGCCGGCGGCCGCGGCGGGCGGGCGGCCCCGAGCAGGGCGCGCAGCGGCGGCAGCGCCCGGCGCATGGCGAGCGAGTGCGGGGCCGGCACCGCCCGCCCGGCCCGCGTCACTCCCCGGCAGCGTCACCGCGTCACGGCACAACGTCAGCCGGGCAGCGGGGCAGCGGCACCGCCGCGCCCTGCCACGGCTCCGCTCCTCCGGAGCACCGCGGCTGGCGGCACTGCCGAGAGCGGGCAGTGCCACATCCCGAGCCAGGAGATGACTGTGCTCGATTCAGTAACGCAGCAGAAGAAATATTGTCTGGTTCTGCCTGGCCAAGGGATGAAGGGGCCGGAGCATCTCTCCTCAAGGAAAGGCTGAGGGAAGCCGAGAGGATGGAGCAGGCTCTGCTTGGTGGTGCCAAGCATTTGGACACTGATGCCCAGGAAGAGCTTCTTCCCTGTGCAGTGACTGAGCACTGGAACATTGTCCAGAGAGGCTGTGGAGTTGTCTCACTGGAGCTACCCCAGAAGTGTCTGGACAAACATCCCTGGACAAACACACATCCCCTGTGCTCTGGGATGGCCCTGCTGGAGCAGGGATGCTGAAGCAGATATCCCACAGTGGTCCCCTCCAGACTGATCTGTGACGGTGGCCACAGGGATCTTATGTTGAGGGAAGAGACCCAGATCTGACTCCATATTTCAGAATGCTTGATTTATTATATTATGATATATATTACATTAAAACTATACTAAAAGAATAGAAGAAAATATTTCATCTCAGAAGGCTGGCTAAGAATAGAAAGGAATGAATAACAAAGGTTTGTGGTTTGGACAGAGAGTCTGAGCCAGCTGGGCTGTGATTGGCCATTAATTTGAAACAACCACACAAGACCAATCACAGATCCACCTGTTGCATTCCACAGCAGCAGATAACCATTGTTTACATTTCATTCCTGAGGCCTCCCAGCTTCTCAAGAGGAAAAAATCCTAAGGAAAGGATTTTCATAAAAAGATGTCTGTGACACTGATCCATTCTGGGATTCATTTTTTGGGAGAAAGCCACCACAGCCCCTCAGCTCTGCAGCTAAACTTGAAAGTGAGACACACGGCACAAAATGTCATTAGTTAATGGATACTCTGCAAAGCTGTCTCTGTTTATCTTGCTCATCTGCTAATGCAGATTAGGTAAATCCACTTATTTCCTAGTGCTGCCAACAAATATTCCTCAGCACCCCTGTGGCTGTGAGGAGAAACTGATCCTTCAGTGACTGCACTGCACTCACCAGGAGTCAGAACAAGGAAGGTGCCTTCCCTCTGCAGCACTGACATGGCTGGCATTAAATCAAACACACAAATGCATTTCTAAGAGACAAAAGCAGGCCCAAATCGATGCAGCAGACGCAACAATTAGAGAGTTTATCCCCTTGCTCAAGGCAGGATCACACACAGGCAGAACCCTGAAGCACACATGTAAGAATACATGCAGTACCTGTTTTCTAAGCTGGATGTGCTCAGGGCTGAGGCATTCCAGAGATGGAATGAGCCACAAGCCTGGCACCACACACACATCCCAGCACTCAGAGCTGAGCAGAGCCTGCCCACTGCTCCATTCTCCAGGACAAACAGGAGCCATTTCCAGGCTGTGACTACAGCAGCTTCCCCACCCTGGCTGCACCAGCAATCCCACAGCCTGGCAGGACACAGGATTTCACTATAGGCCACTCTGGGAAATAATTACTGTGCAGTTTGTTCCCTCAAACACAGCCAAGAGCACTCAGCTCAAAAATGTTCCACACTCAGAGCTACAGAGAGAGGAGCTGGCACAGCAGGGCCAGGCAGCAGCCAGTCTGCCCTGCAGTTACACACTGCAGTTCCTGCATTTATTCCTTTGCTGTGTTGGCTGGCAGAGATCAGCCCTGTCTATAAACTTGCCTTTTACATCATGATGTTGGTCATACTCCTTTGAACATGAATGTAATTACAATCCTGTTTTTTTCCCATTCTTTCCATGTATTCTTCTTTTGTATTTCTGTTACCATCACTCTGTCCCTGACCTGCCTTTACCCTTGTATGTTCTTTTATCTTATAGACTCATACAGTGACAGAAGGATCTACCACTGGTATCACCAAGCCCTCAGACTGTGTCAGGCCATCAGCTGGTTTTTCCCCTGCTTAAATCTAGTTTAGTTAGCTCCAGTATGCAGTTAAGCAAATCTACAACAAATTATTATAAGCCATAAAGACATTGTTTGCTGCTTTCTTACAAAGCAGAGAAAGATGCACTGCTGCCAGGAAGAGAGAAGAATGTGTTTGTGATGTTAGCTGTCTGCTTGCTACCAATAATTGAGCTTTTGATTTACTCTGGGGTTTTTTTTAGTTTTAATTTGGCAGCTATGCTTTCCACTTCTTCAATTCCAATTTTTTTGTCTGATCACTTCATCAAGCTTGTTCTGGAGTGGATTATTCACAATAGATTGCAATAGATAAATACCGAGAGCATCCAGAAATGCTGAACAGACCCAGACCTGGCTGTTCAAAAGTCTGTTCCTTAGACTGAAATTCTGCAGGGCTGCAGACCTGGCTGTTCAATACTGTGTTCCTTAGACAGAAAATGTCCAGGGCTGCAGATGCCCACCTTCAAATGCCATTCATTCAGACCTATTAGTCATCCATAAGACATTGACCAGGCTCTACCTTGCCTCCTGTCCCAGGATTCACAAGCCAAGAGCAGTAGGGGATGCAGAGCTTCAATCCCTACAGGGATGGCTGTCTATGATCACAATCTTTGGCTACACTAGGGCATCATCACAATCCTTTGAGCTAGAATAAAACAGACATCAGGTTGTAAATAAGTTTTAATAAAAAATGTTTCAACAAGGTTTTTTACAGTAGCTGCTGGAATATCCAGCATTTAAGGAATTCGTCCGGGCACAGTTACAAACCACAAAAAAGGTAACAGGTTTTAGACATTGCAAGTGTTTTAGAAAGAATCAAATCTGCTCCAAAGTCACTCCTAAGATCTGCCTTCAAGGCCCCTCTAGACAGGTTCCAGGTTGTTGTGGTAAATGAAGCAGGTGTAACAGTGTGAGTTATTTCTCAGCTCAACAGTACCCAGCATGAGAAGCTGTGCACACTCACAGCCAGGACAGAGCAGACAGGATGGCAGGAACACCATGGGTTTTCTTCCAGGATTTAGGAGCTCACTGGGTATGCCTCTATCTGCAGGAGGCCCCACAGCACAGACCCTTTCCCAAACTGAAAGCACTGAAGGCAGCTGTTAGATGCATAGATAAGCTCACCAAGGTTTGCCCCTTTCCAGCACTGGAGCACAAGTCAGAAAGTGGAGAAACCAGAGTGATGGCTCTCCTCCTGCACACCACACTGTAATCCCAGCAGTCTGCTCCACATCCAAGGGAACTTGCAGAGCTAAAACCCACTGCTACCAGAACTGAGGAGCCTGCTGCTCTCAGAGGGATCACACACTGAGCAGGCACTGTGCACTGTTACAATCCCAGCAGGGTCTTTGCCTCCTCACTCTGGGCCAGCAGGGTTTCACTGGCGTACTTCTGCAGCAGCTCCATCTTCTTCCTTCGTACAAGAGCTTCCTCAATCTGCAGAGACAAAACCAGAGTGGATTCAGCTCAGCTGGGATGCTGAGAGCTCAGATGCTCAGCTATACCACAACACCTCCCAATTTATGGAATACTTAGGGAGATTTTGGAAATTCACAGGTGAAAAGGGTTATAGCATTTGCAAGGGGATTAAACAGCTGCAGAGTCAAGTCACAGAAATCACAAATTTAGGGCCCTGTCACTGATGACCTGATGTAAATGAAGATGTGTCTTGCAAAAGCCAGTGTGCATCTCTGCAGCTGAGTGCTGTTCTGCCTTACCTCCTGTTGAGTTGGCACTGGAACATGTGCAATAAATTTCTGTTGGCCATCTTCACCTTCTCTCTCCTTGCCACCTTCCTCATCAGACTGCAAAGTGAAAAAATCACATCAAGGTTATTTTCTATAGAGGTCATAAAAAACCCTTTTTCATTTGCTTTGCCAGAAGGAACAACACATGATCAACACTATAAACACAGGAATTAGTGAAGAGGAGCCAGCACCAAAAGAACACAAGGATCACATGCAGACCCTGCTCCTGGACATTTTCAGCATTACTGCTTCCATTTCTCATATGGCCTTTGCCCTGCTGTGGCATGGCCATGAATGTAAAGCTGCATTTCCTCCCTTTCCATAACTCTGGCTGCCACAGCAATGCTGTGAACAGAAGAGGAGCCAGCTAAGCAGCAAGTGCTATAAAAATAGGGGTACCACTTCCCTGAACAGCTCTGTACTGCTCTGGTCCCACACCTAAGAGCTGGGCTCATGAACCATGGGATCATACAAATAAAATAGGTACTGGAGGAGCCACCAGATCCATCTGATGATGGATTGTCACAGACATCTTTTATGAAAAATCCTTTTCTTAGGATTTTTCCTCCTGAGAAGCTGGGAGGCCTCAGGAACAAAATGTAAGCAATGGTTATCTGCTGCTGTGGAATGCAACAGGTGCATCTGTGATTGGTCTCATGTGGTTGTTTGTAATTAATGGCCAATCACAGTCAGCCCGCTCAGACAGAGAGTCTGAGACAGAAGCCTTTGTTATCATTATTTCTTTTTCTATTCTTAGCCAGCCTTCTGATGAAATCCTTTCTTCTATTCTTTTAGTAGAGTTTTAATATATACCATAAAATAATAAATCAGCCTTCTGAAACATGGAGTCAGATCCTCATCTCTTCCCTCATCCTCATACCCCTGTGAACACCATCACAACGGATTCCTCCTTTTTATTCTTGTGCTTAACCCACGTAGATACAGACTGAGAAATGGGACCTTGTTTCCAGTCCCCTCCTCCAGATCTCACTGGGAGCAGATCTCATGTCAGAAGCAGCAGCCATGTCACAGCAGTGACAGCAGCACCAGCTGCACCATCATCCAAGTGCAAACAAGGCCCTGCACCCCCTGAGTTTTCACACAGTGGCAGTGTGACATTATCCTGTCCCCAAAGCTGCTTGTGCTGTTGCTGAGGCAG